ACACACACACACACACACACACACACACACACACACACACACACACACACACACACACACACACACACGTGGGATGCCACAATTTCCTGTTGGTCTTCTCACCTGTTCCCTTTTTGCAGACGTAGGGCAGATTGTAGTTGCAGGGCACGTCGTTCCATTTGCTGTTCTCGTGAGCGATCATCACCACGCAGTCTTCACCGCCCGCGAAGAAGTTGTCGGGCTGGTTCGAGCGCCAGTTCTCATATTGCTGCACAGATATGTTGACAGGCATGAGAACCATCAAAGTTGCAGAATAATTTGAGGAAATACAGTGATCCGCAATCACTACCCTGCAGCACAGTGGTGTGCATGAAGTGTTCTGGAGGGGAAACTATCTCCATCTCGTTTAAATTAAGAGGTCTAAAAATGAAATTAATAGGTCTAAAATTGATGATTACTTTTCAGGTCGTTGACTTTCATTCAAATTTCTTCCTATTACATTCATATGGACACTCTCATCTGCATTTAATGGCTGGCAGGTGTCTTTTCCTGCTTCTTTGTCTCAGAATCATGGGAAATGTAAATCGTACTAGCCTCATGCTAGCCTCACTCAGCAAAAAAAAAAAAACAAAACAAAAAAGGTGAGTCCATTGACAACCAAATGCAAATTTGACCATAATCGCTCAAGGGGTTGTTTTAAAACCCTGTTTGCATTACACTAATGAATTCCCAATGGAACTTGAGTTGGGTGATTGTGTGACTAAGAGTGGAAAAACGCTTACCAGGTCCATCTTATCAGTCCACTGAAAGTCATCCTCCACTGTGCGATCATTTAAGCCGATCCAGGTGTTGTCATGACTGATACCTGAGCAGGAAAAGCATAAGCGTGGACCGTCGGGATTATTTATCCTCTCTTTTTTTCCAGAGCGCTTGTCCTCATTAGGATCGTGAGTTGTAACCAATCCCGGCTGACTTTGGCACACGAGGTCACCAGACAAGGACTCATATTGACAAGCCGGTATTTCCACTAACATTCAAACCAATGGGCAAGCGCTAGAGTTAGCATGTTTTTGGAATAAGGGAAGAATTAAACCAAATCATCTGGAGAAATTCCACGCAGGAATGAGCAGAACATGAAAACTAGAACCTCAGAGCTGTGAGGCAAACATGCTATCCAACAGTCCGCCATATTGTTTAATAATAAGCATTCTAATTGTATATTTATTGCCATTCCCTTGGTAAATATATCTGCGTATTTTAGACTTTATAAGGCCACTTTCATCAAATATATGTCTGAGAGACTGATGACATTTTATTTTTTTTTAATAGTGCAACAGATCAACATTTTAAAAGTGGATGAACTGATTTTAAATTTGACTTTACTAATATCTGATTAAAGCTAATCTTTTTAAAAAAAATGTTAATGACACCTTTATGTTACCACCCAACCTTAAGTGTTACAGTAACACTCGATGACAAATATGTCATGCTAGCAACCTACCAGCGTTTGCTAACGTCAGCTAGTTCAGCGTGCTAACGCTGCCTTCGCATTGCTAGCGTTGCGATTTGGATATGCGTTGTCTGAGATTATTTACTATGACTAACCACTTTGGATATTTGCGTGCCATTATGAACAGCCACAGCACACTTTCCCTTTAAGATCTTGTGAGCCACCTTCAATGATGTGGCCGGCCAAATTCAGCCCAAGGGACTTGAATTGTGAGCTTGAATGCTAAGAAGCCATCAGACAGCATAGCATAGTGCTCACACGTTCCTTCTCTCTTCATAATCCCCCCCAGTGTGATGACTTTTATTTTCTTTTTTGTTTACGCATGAGGCGAAAATGTCAGTGGTGACGTTCCATGCGGGAGGAGGGTTAATCCCATTGTGAGCCGTTCTCCACATCACGCTGCATCAGATTAGCATTATCAGCGGGCGCATTAATCTTCCTAATGACGCTGATCTCCTTATTGCAGGGGTGGAGACGTCTGGTCTTGAGGCGATTAAATACTTTTTATTTTGTTGTTGTTTGTGTGCGGAAGATATAACGAGGGAATTCGGGCGACAATGCGTGTGGGACGGTTGTTTCTGTTTTGAAACGGGAGCGAAAAAGTCTGATGGCTTTGTTTGCTCTGCAGCCAATGTGGAACGCGCAATCGATTTGCTTTGCACAAAGGAAAATCAGCTCACCTGTTTCCGGACCGATCGCAGCGACGCAGAACATGACAGCAGATTACACGCCGTGTCATTGACACTTTACATCAGCAGCCAAAGGGGCAGAGGGCACACTGCTCGAAATGTTTATTCAGGAATTATTGAAGAATATAGAAAAAGCTCAAGGAAGACAACAAACTACAGAAATTAAGACATTTTACCCAAGTACCAATGAAGAGAGCAGATGTCAGTCAATGTTAGGGTTGCTACGTGGTGGAAAATCTGATCATTTTCTTTTTCATGCTTCTCCTGCCTTGTTGTGTGAAATGCAATTGTCACAGCAGTACAAGTATTCTATATGTTGACGTCTGATAATTATCTGACAGCTGGATGCTGCTGGTGCCGGGCCAACCGGCCACATTAGATTCCGCTCACTCGTCTCGTCCTGATGACTCCAATCAGTGACATTTAGAGGGCACCGTCACTTGAAAGCTACCCGGGAATGCAAAGCAGCTTTTTTTGCCAAACTTATCCGGCTCATTTGGACTTCTCTCGCTCACCTCCAATGAAATTCTGCTCGGCCAGGCTGTGGATGCTGGCCAGGTGGCCGCTGTGCTCCCTGCAATCTTTCTCAGCGTCCTCCCACGTGTGCCGCCGGCTGAAGTAACGGTAGCAGTGGCCGTGGAACTTTCGCCATGCGTGCTCGCAGCCTTCCGTGTCTACGGGGACACACAACAGGAAAAGGGTTGAAAGGAAATACATCAGCTGTTCGGGAAAATGCACTTATTTATAACCGGAATTCTCAACATTGGCTGCGTAATTAAGACCCGACGCAGCGCTCGGGACGGCCATCCCCACTTGGATGAGATGCGTATGTGTGCGCGGCGCTCTGCAAATCGGACGCATGGGCTCCATGTGTCATCTTTTTGCCCTCCCCGCAGCTCACAGAAGGCCTCGGCTTTTTAGGCCGACAAATCCGAAGCGACACCAGCAAATTGGGAATTGCAAATGGGGTCTGTATGGTGCACTGCTCAGTATGCGTAGACATGTGGTTTGGGTGAGGGGAGGACAGAAGAATATTCAAGCAGAAGCCGAACAATATTCAATCCCATGGAGAATTGAGACCTTGTGTGCTTGTTTTTTGTTGTTGTTGTTGTTTCTTTTAAACTTTTACAGGTGGTCCATTTGCAGGGTGTTTTCAAGCCAATGCAAAGAGTTACTAAAACATTTGCCTGGACGTTACAGGTGTGTGGTTTAAGCTTCTCCTGTTCAAATGCCTGGCGATAAAGATACATCGTTTCAAAATCAACTGAGATCATAATGTGGTTGCATCAGTGTGTCTCTTATAACTGGCAACAAAACTATGTTTAGAATGAACCCATTCAATTCAAAGTTATCATACTTTGTAATCATGATTATAATTTTTTTTATTGCAAATTCCCCCTTTTTAAAGACTACCTTCCACTTGTGATACTTTATCTCTCCGGTGGCCTGTTGAGGCAGAAAACTAGACGGGCCTGAAGACTCAATGCTTCACACGTTTGACCAAATGGTAGCAAAAGCACGCAAATATAGCAAGAAGACAGGGAAGGAAATAGAGCGTACAGAAAAAAAAAGGCAAGAAAAGAGGGAAAGGAAGATCAAGCAGCATGTTTCCTTCCCCTCTCAGATCTCCGGCTTAGTCTCCGCTGATTTCTTCTCGCTATCGCTGACAAGAGGCAGCCTCAGAGCTCCACTGGTCCATTTGCAGGGTGTTTTCAAGCCAATGCAAAGAGTTACTAAAACATTTGCCTGGACGTTACAGGTGTGTGGTTTAAGCTTCTCCTGTTCAAATGCCTGGCGATAAAGATACATCGTTTCAAAATCAACTGAGATCATAATGTGGTTGCATCAGTGTGTCTCTTATAACTGGCAACAAAACTATGTTTAGAATGAACCCATTCAATTCAAAGTTATCATACTTTGTAATCATGATTATAATTTTTTTTATTGCAAATTCCCCCTTTTTAAAGACTACCTTCCACTTGTGATACTTTATCTCTCCGGTGGCCTGTTGAGGCAGAAAACTAGACGGGCCTGAAGACTCAATGCTTCACACGTTTGACCAAATGGTAGCAAAAGCACGCAAATATAGCAAGAAGACAGGGAAGGAAATAGAGCGTACAGAAAAAAAAGGCAAGAAAAGAGGGAAAGGAAGATCAAGCAGCATGTTTCCTTCCCCTCTCAGATCTCCGGCTTAGTCTCCGCTGATTTCTTCTCGCTATCGCTGACAAGAGGCAGCCTCAGAGCTCCACATCACACCAACCTCTTCAAATATTTAGACATTATTCAACTTGTCTTTCTTTTTTTTTTCAACCCTCTTCTATCGTTTCTGACACGCTGCGAGGAGAAGCCAGCTTATCAATAATATTCACAAAGAATTTACCCAATCCAAAAAAAAAAAGACTGATGGGCAAAAACAAAAAAACAAAAAAAAAATGCAAATATCTTTGGGATCTGATTCCCTGAAAAAAGGTTTAAGACGATTAACCCTTTCATGCACCAATATTGATAACCTGTAACCATCCACTGCAGTCGCCGCTGTCCCTGAAAGGGTTAATATCAAAATTATGACATACCCGGTACACTGCCATGCTGGACATTTTTGAGCAGTTGACGTTTTTCCTGTGACGTGTTGCGTGCTGTACACCAGACTGTTCATTTTGCACTCGTTTGCTGGTCTATGGTGCTATAAAAATTTGGCATTGTCAAGCACTCATCACTGTCAACGTTTATGTTCTGGCAGCATCACATTAAAAAAAATAAAATAAAATAAAATAAAAAAATTCAAACTGATTTGCCCGCTTCAAAGACATTCGAATGCCTCTCGGAATGAAATCTGGCAGCGGAGATTACTTGGCATGAAATGTTAATCCAGGCCGTTTGCCTTTGGTTTTGTAGTCCAGACTCTCGCCACTAAAACAAACGCAGCCGTTGTTAGCGTGGGGCAAACAAGCAAAGAGAGCTGACGCTCGGTGTGGGGCCTGGGGGGATTCAAACTTGTGTGGGAATTCTTTGTAAAGTTGAGAGGACGGGAAGACTCTCCAGACGGCTCGACAGATTCTCCCATCATCTGAAGTGACTTTATCACTCAGGGTGGTGCAAACACTGAAACGAAAGCGTCCCCCTGTCAAATCTAGCGGCGCGCCTATTCTCTCAGACACTTCGGGATCGTTTCTCTCGCGTGCTCCAGAGCTTGTTCTAAAATCTAGCGCCTCTCTCTTGGCGAAACGTTAAATCGCACCTTTTGATGAAAGCTAACTGCTTCCGTATTCCGCTCGTTACATGACAGAGTCGCCTGCTGACTCGTGCTGGTGGCTTGGGGGGGGGTTGTCTGAAAGCGCCGTTCAAAAGAACTGCGGTGATTGTAAGAGTGGTAATGGTGAGTTATTATTAAGTGGGTGTGACGGCAAACTTGTTGGCTTTTCTGCCAATTTCGCCAAGGCATTGGCACGGTCGCTTCAGGCTACAGTTGAAAAGAAGAAAAAAATAAATAAAACCCACAAAAGACGGATGTATGGAGTGAGGATTTAGAACGTAACATCCAGAGACTGGGCGAGGAGGCGCACCATCGAGAAGGACGTTGCATTGACTCCACACCTCAGGATTAATGAGAGACAAATCCTTTTACCGTAGCCTGTTTTCGTTCAGACATCCACGGTTTGCTCTCACAGGAAGCGGAGGGGATGGATTCTTGTTCCATTAGGCTGCTTTGTTTTGAAACAATTTGACAGCTCCAAGAGGGAGACGCCGATGGATTAAAACGTAGGCTTTTTTTTTCCTCCCGTTTTGGGACAGTTTCAAATGTATTTGCGAGTCATTATGTGGATAGTAGAGAAAATGCGCTCACTCCAGGGTGTCTGCGTCAGCGCAGGCGGGGGAGGGGATTTTCAATAAATGTTTGATTATGAGTTTTCCGTCAACAAATAACTTGCTCTCATTCTCTCTCTCTCTCTGTGGGGACCTCTTCAAAGTTGCCTTTGAACACTTTCTAGCTCTTGAATTTGGGTTTCCCCAAATCTTTGTTTTGGGGCAACAGTAGTCAAGCCCAAATGAATAAATAGATTAAAAAAAAAAAGCAACAATTTGCTATTGTTACCTTTCTCGCATTTGGCGCCGCTGTAGCTGGGCAGACACAGACAAACAAAAGAGTTGATCTCGTCGATGCAAGTTCCTCCATTGCGGCAGGGGTTGGACTGGCAGTCATCAACATCTGGAGGACAGAGAGGGAGAGAGAAAGAGAGAGAAGCAGGTCAAGTTAAGGTGAAGTAACAAGGTGCATACTAACGCACTAGCACAATCCCGGCAGTGGCTATTCAAACGACCTGCCAAACAGAAGGGGGGGAAAAAAAAAAGCCAAAACCTTGAGATAAAGTGTAAAAAGATTAGGTTAAGCGCGTCCTGAAAGAAACAACTTCTAATTAAAGCCAATTGATTGCACATCATCAGGAATGCACTCCAGCGCGTCATGTTAATTGCAAGAGCAAAGGGAAGAGTACACAATGTGAGGAGGAAGTACAAGTGGAATCTCCAGAGTAGAATGCCATCCATTCCATAATTCAGGCTATATTCGCAGGTGGCATTGTACAGAAAAGGCCAAAGAAAAAGCAAAATCGCCTCCAAATTGGATGACAACACACTTAAAGGGCTCATCGGGCAAAGATGGCCAATTTTTCACGCAACAACTCTCTTTGTATTTTTCGATCAGGAAAATTATATTGGCTTGTCTTTTGAATTTCATTCATTTGTTTTGGAGAATTCACTGAATACCAAACTACTCTCAAAAGGCCCTTTTCTTGTCAACAATATTGCATATCCTGGTGGGAGCCAGCGGAGGAACTGAACACAATTTGCCCATTCAAAATCGTTGTACATCCATCCATTTTTCGATCCGCTTATCCTCACAAGTGTCGTGGGGGGGTGCTGGAGCCTATTCCAGCCGTTTTCGGGCAGTAGGCGGGGGACACCCTGAACCGGTTGCCAACCAATCGCAGGGCACACACAGACGAACAACCATCCGCGTTCACACTCACATCCAGGGACAATTTAGACTGTTCAATCGTTTTTGGAATGTGGGAGGAAACCGGAGTACCCGGAGAAAACCCACGCAAGCCCAGGGAGAACATGCAAGCTCCACACAGGGAGGCCGGAGCTGGAATTGAACCCGGTACTCCACACTGTGAGATCGATGCACTAACCACTGGACCACCAGGCCGCCCTTATTGTACATACATCACTAATAATTTCCAGAAATGGACATCAACAAGCACTAAAAATGCTGTGGACATCTGTATTTATACCTACTTCAACCTCTGAAAAAAGCACGAGGATTAGACTCTGACGCTGACTTATTTGCAAAAAAAAAAAAAAAAGAAGCAATAACTCACAGGCAGGCTTCAATTACTGGCCAATGCATGCAAAACCTTTGATACATTTCAGGTTACTGAGTCACTGTGAAAATCTTTTTTGTGTTAGACTGCTCCCTGGTGCACCAGAAGGAGCTCAATGGAGTGGGGGAGGGGGTGCTGTCCTGCTCAATGCTACCGCAATTTTCTTCTTAGCTCATTCCTTCCTGTGCCGTTTTGCCTTCTTAGGGGCAGTGAGGCGGGGTGCATGGGTGGACTACACACTTCCAATGAGAACAGAAAAAGTTGTAATTGAACGCAATTAACATAATTCGTTTTTTCACAGATTAGGAAAAAAATTGTGCCTTTGACAAGTGTGATCTTACCTCCGTGCACGTGTTCCCACCCTGTTTGTGTGTTACTTGAATACCACTCCAGAAATCAATGTTAATTTTCCGTGACCATTTGAATGGCATTCTCCAACTGACTTAGCCAGTGATGTTTTAAAACACAAAGCGGGTTTTGTATTTCCTCCAGGCTGTTGTCGTAAGGAACTCGCGGCGAGCTGCTCCATGTGACCGCATGTGAACAAACACACAAGCATTGGTGCTTCACTGGTAGAATTGTAGACTGCCACGACGGGGCTGACCGGGTTTTGCTTCCAAGCCAATAAGTGGATTGCTTTCGACATTTTAGGTGACTGAATCAGCTGTGGGGCTGTCCTGCTCAATGCTGTCTTTCCTTGCACGATAGGGGCAGGCGCTACATTAGACCACGAAAATCTGCAGAGCTTCCACAATCTGAGCATTGGTGGTTCAGTGGTAGAATTCTCGCCTGCCACGCGGGAGGCCCGGGTTCGATTCCCGGCCAATGCACATGCACTTTTTTGCTCTATTCTAGTTTTGTGAATCAGCTGCGCAACTAGTTGGTCCAAAAGCTTAATGTACGGCTGTCTTGCTAAATTCTGCGGTAAGGCATATATGCATTGGTGGTTCAGTGGTAGAATTCTCGCCTGCCACGCGGGAGGCCCGGGTTCGATTCCCGGCCAATCCAAATGCAGCTTTTTTCCTCGTTCTTTCAAGGGAAAAAAAAATTCCAATACAATGCAGGCTGCTTTGTGACCAGATAACTACCAGTGTGGACTAAAGTGTAAGCATTGGTGGTTCAGTGGTAGAATTCTCGCCTGCCACGCGGGAGGCCCGGGTTCGATTCCCGGCCAATGCACATTCAGCCTTTGCCTTTTTTCCTTGTTCTCGAAAGTGGAAAAAAAAATGGGTTGTGACACGGGCCGCTTCATGACCAGATAACTACCGATGTGGAATGAGATGTATGCATTGGTGGTTCAGTGGTAGAATTCTCGCCTGCCACGCGGGAGGCCCGGGTTCGATTCCCGGCCAATGCACACAAAGTTTTTTGCTCTAGTTTTGTGAGTCAGCTGTACAACTTGATCCAAAAGCTTAATGTACGGCTGTCTTGCTAAATTCTGCTGTAAGGCATATATGCATTGGTGGTTCAGTGGTAGAATTCTCGCCTGCCACGCGGGAGGCCCGGGTTCGATTCCCGGCCAATGCAAATACAGCTTTTTCCTTGTTCTTGCAAGGGAAAAAAAAAATTCCATTGCAATGCAGGCTGCTTTGTGACCAGATAGCTACCGGTGTGAAATAGAGTGTATTCATTGGTGGTTCAGTGGGAGAATTCTCGCCTGCCACGCGGGAGGCCCGGGTTCGATTCCCGGCCAATACATGTTTAGTTTTTGCCTTTTTTCCTCGTTCTTGCAAGGGAAAAAAAATTCCAATGCAATGCAGGCTGCTTTGTGACCAGATAACTACCGGTGTGAAAGAGAGCGTATGCATTGGTGGTTCAGTGGTAGAATTCTCCCCTGCCACGCGGGAGGCCCGGGTTCGATTCCCGGCCAATGCACATTCAGCTTTTGCCTTTTTTCCTTGTTCTCAAAAGTGGAAAAATAATGTGTTGCGACACGGGCCGCTTCATGACCAGATAACTACCGGTGCAGAATGAGATGTATGCATTGGTGGTTCAGTGGTAGAATTCTCGCCTGCCACGCGGGAGGCCCGGGTTCGATTCCCGGCCAATGTAAATGCAGCTTTTGCCTTTTTTCCTCGTTCTTGCAAGGGAAAAAAAAAATTCCCCATGCAATGCAGGCTGCTTTGTGACCAGATAACTACTGGTGTGGAATAATGTGTAAGCATTGGTGGTTCAGTGGTAGAATTCTCGCCTGCCACGCGGGAGGCCCGGGTTCGATTCCCGGCCAATGCAAATGTAATTTTTGCCTTTTTCCTCATTCATACAAGGGGGTGAAAAACTCAAATGCGACGCGGGCTACTTCATGACCAGATAACTACGGGTGTGAAACTAGGACATTGGTGGTTCGGTGGTAGAATTCTCGCCTGCCAAGCGGGAGGCCCGGGTTTGATTCCGGGCCAATGTATGTGGAAATTTTGTGAAATTTCAGGTTACAGAGTCAGCTGTGACACTCCGCTCACTCAGTCTCGATGTATTACACTGCTCTGTGGTGAACCACCAGGAGCTGTCATGCTTAATTCTATCTTTCCTCACTCTCATGTGTGCTAGACTGAACGTGTAAGCATTGGTGGTTCAGTGAGGGAATTCTTACCAGCCATGCAGGAGGCCCGGGTTTCATTCCGAGCCAATGCATGTCCGACTTTAGCTTTTTGATTCAGCTCTGAAACTCTCCTTTCTGGGTCGGTATATCTCGGCGTGCACATCAGAAGGAATTAAATCTGGGGTGGAACTGATTATTGACATTTCCATGTATTTCAATGAAGTGAGTTGATTTGAGATACAAATTTGGAGGTAAGTATGGTTGTTTGTATACGTTTTTGGCTGGTGACCAGGTCACCTTGTCAACTGGGATAGGCTCCAGAAACCCTGTGGCCCTAATGAGGATAAACAGTCCTGAAAACGGATGCATGGATGGATGGAATAACTCCGAACCTTCGCACGAATTAAAAATGATGCGCACACACATGCATATTTGGAAGAAGCAGGTGTGAGAGAAGATGTATTCTTTTTTTTTAGTATCTATTTGATTCAGCTGATCTGGGGGCTGCAGGGAGAAATTTTTAAAAGTGCTGCTGCTATTCCCAAAAATCCAACACCAGAGCCCCCACAGCAACCCCTGCAACATTGGCAAGAAGTCACAGAGAGCGGGAGGAGCTATTAATTGAGTGTTCCAGAATATACCAGTGAAAGTGATATTGCAATGGGGATGTGATGCTGTGAATTCTGAGAAGTTGGCAGGTTCCCAGCCCAGATTAGGGCAGCTTTGCATATGTGTGGCTAAAGCAGCGTGACGGCATCATTGCTGGAGCGACACTGATATCAAAAGGATGGATTGGACGCAGAGGCAGTCAGAGACAAACATACCGATTACCGTGACTTTCTGCAGACAGACTCGCTGACTCATGGTTGGCCGTGAGGAGTAATATAAAAGACAGACTCAAGAAATGTGTAAATAAGAGTAATATTGCCCAGATTTATACCTCTAAATTTGTTTTTTTATACATGGCACATATTTTTTTAAAATACGTAAAGCAATCATAATCATGACTTTTGCCGAAAGTATTTTCCGATTCATAAGATTGCACAATTGTCTGTGTCTCATGTGTTGTTTTGTATTATTTTGTCATTTTTTTAACTTTCTTTTGATGGCGGCGCGACACCCGCAGCAGCTCCTCTTGTTTTATGTTGTCTTGAGAGGGAAGAAATTTCATCTGTGCTGTACACATACAGTACATTTGACAATAAAGTTGATCCAATCCAATCCAATATAACTTGACTGAAAGGAGGCTTTCTATTTTCTGTTGAAAATTTCAATTTAATATCC